GGCCGCCCGGGCCTCGAGGACCCGCGCGCCGTCCGCGCCCGGGAGCACCAGCGCCGCCACGGCGGGGCACCGCTGCACGGCCTCGACCAGCTCCAGCCGGGAGATGCAGCCGCTCCTCGAAAAGCAGAGAAGTGAACTACCCAGACCCCCTCGGGTAAAGAAAAAACATTGCGGCAAGTTTTTCCATACTACTGGCCTCGGGAGGCCCTGACAGGGCCTCCGGGCTGTCCAAAAACGACTCAGGACGAGAAACCGGTCCCAGAGAAAGGGTCGGGACTTCCAGGGACGCCGTCCCCCCCCAAAAAAAAACGTCGCATGTCTGGGAAGGGGACTAGGAGGCCTCCCAGCTGGGGTCCGAGGAGATGAGGTCGGAAGATCGCGCCGCCTCGCCGATGCATCGGCGATGCATCGGCGTGGAGAACATCGGGCCCCACATCGAGCCGCATCGCCGATGCATCGTCGCTGCACCGGGGATGCGGCGCGATCCTCCGACCCCGTCTACTCCGAGCCCATCCGGGAGGCCTAGAAAAACTGATACCACCACTCCCTGAGACCCTGGCGTCGCAATCCCAGAGATCCAACGGAACAAAACAAACGCGGCGAGGTCTCGTCGTCAAACAACGACTCGGGATGAACAGCCGGTCCTCGGGAATGGGTCGAGACTTCTGGGGACCCCATATGGAACAAATCGGCACGTCGGACGTCTCGAATTGTCCCACAGCGGGCTGTTTCGCCCAGTATCGGTCCCCAGGGCCATCACACGTCGAGCCGGCTCGAAACGTGCATCAGAACGATGGGGTCTGGGACGCTACAGTCAAAATCTGCAGCAAGGACGCGCTGTAAAGACGCTAGGCCCTTGGACGATCCTTGGATGCCCCAGTTGAAGCGTTTCTAGCGGCGCCCTGCCGACAAAATCTAAGGACGCAAGGGTGACCTTTGGAAGGTTACCCGTCCGTGCTATGGATTTCACTGTAATCGCGATTTCTACGATGCTGCACTTCCTCGCCGCGGCGCGTTCTGACCGGGCACTCGAGGAAGATCCGGCCGCGGCGGCGAGGACTCTCGGGGACGACCAGCGGCAGCGGTGTGTCCCCTCCAGCAGCCCTCGGAAGGGGCGGCAGTTTCGAAAATCGCAGCCCCCAAAAGACGGCGAGATCTAATCTGAGTCAGCGCATGGCGTCACTGCGCTGCCGCTGGCCCCCCCACGGCACCCCTCGCAAGTGGGGGCGGCATCGCAGATCGCAGCCCCCCGACGAAGGGAGAGAACTAAATAAAGAGAGAAGGAGGGAGAGAGAGAGAGAGAGACAACAAATATACAGAAAGAGAGGGAGAGAGAGAGAGAGAGGGGAATCTTTACATATACACACAACAATGTAAACACTTTTACACATTTAGCATGGAATGGAAAGAGAGAAAGAGAGAGAGATAGAGAGAGAGAGAGAGGAAGAGAGATAGAAGGAGAGAAAGAGAGAACGAACAACGAAAAAAGAGAGGGTAATATAAATACAGAGAGCGAGAGAGAGAGCGAGAGAGAGAGAGAGAAAAAACAACAAAGAGAGAGAGAGAGAGACAGACAGAGACAGAGAGAAGGACAGGACATAGGCAGGCGGGGGGGGGAGAAAGGAGGGAGACGCGAACACAACGCTCTATTCAAAACGAGAAACCAGCAACGGAAGGTTCGAAAGAACCTGCGGTTTCGCACAAACTCAAGAATCGAGCGTCTCGAAGACACAAAACTTATGGTTTTGTGGTATGTTTTTCCCCCAGAAGCGTTTGCGCGTCAACGCGCTTCTGCGACCGCCCAAAAGAAGCATAGGTGTCCAACATCGTCGTCGCTTGCGACCAAACTGGCCCCTCGCGCGTGCAGGCCTGAATGATCCGACCGCCCTTGCGCGCGTGCTGCGCGTGGGGGGCGCGATCCGTGTCCAACAATACCAAGCGTGCCACTCTCGCGCGCCGGCCGCACGCGTATGCCGAACTTCCTCCAAACCATACATCACCGACGCACAGACGTCGTCATCGTCGCTGGCGTGATCAGCATCGGCGCCGTCACTGGCCTTGCCATTGCCGTTGTCATCATCGTGAAAAAAAAACAGCCTTACCATCATCATCGCGTTTACCGTCGTCGACGCTGCCATGGCACTGCGCCCGCCCAAATCGCCGACTCACACTGAAATGCCCGCTGGGACATGTCCAGCGGTCAGCGCCACCGCGGCCGCGTCGGTCGTGCCAAGCTAGGTGGCCGCTGTGCGCGCGAGCATGCGCGGGCTAGCGCGGCCTCAGAGATGCACAAGCCAACGCCAAGCGTTAATCGCAATCGCCGCCGCATGGGTTTTGCAAACCACTAAGTTGCGGGTGGGCGGATGGAACGCTTGCGCGACCAATGAAGGAGCAACTTCAACTTCGGCTGGGCGAATTGCACCGCATATATTCTCCACTCGAACACAAAGAATTCGGATCCACAGCCCTGCCGAAACCAGACATACCAGAACCCCCTGTGAACGTGCAGAGTACACATGGTTTTGCCCCATCGTCCACTTTTATTAGGAACTTATACACTCCCAGCCAGGCCGGATTTCACCCCCCCCACCCCCCCTCCCCTCACCCTCTGCCAACATGTTATGCGTGCGCACTTGGTTTTCAAAAATCAGCAATGTCCAGCGACCCCAGGCAAAGGCAAAATAACAAAGTGCACACACGCGCGTCGTCGCGCGCGCATGCCGACATTCTTTGGGTATCGCAAGGACTTCAAAATCGAGGTCCCCGACAAAACCAAAACCACACGTGGTTTCGCAACGAAGGTTTTCAAAAAACCCTGCGCCTGGGCTCATGCGAATACTTACGAAATGCTGTTCCACATTATCGTTAAATGCTGCCAAACGGGCCTCTCGCGCGCGCGTGTCGGAATCACTCGAACGCCTTCGTGCGCGCGTTGTCACAACAATGCGTTGCCAAAAATATGGCGAAGTGCGCGCGCGTCGTAGCGCGCCAGCATTCCGAAATCCGTCACAAACCTTAGATGTCGTAAGGATGTCAAAATCGAGCGCCCCGAACATGTACAATTACATATATATATATATATACATACACTCATATGTGTACATGTATATATAGAACGCACGTTATGCAACATCCGTTTGACAAATAAGCCGTTGCGCGAGATCTGACGAAATCTTTAAAAAATGCCATAGGTGTTTCACCATTGCCATCAAACTCTGCCAAACTCGCCTCTCTTGCCGAATGCCGAACTCATCCGGACGCCCCACCGCGCGTATGTTTTGGGGGTGGTACGATCCGCGTCACATAAAGCCGCGCGGGCCACTCGCGCGCGTCGGCCGACCCGCATGTGGAACTCCCTCCAAAACTCATCACCGAAGCGAGGGCGCCGTCATCGTTACCAACGGGCACGATCAACATCGGCGCCACACCATCGTTACGATCATCGCTACTTCCATCATCGCGTCTACCGTTGTCAACGTTGCCATGCCACCGCCCGCTGGAAGTGCGCAGCGGCCCGTGCCGCCGTAGCCGTATCGGTCGCGCCGCACTCGCTAGCCTCTGCGCGCGCGAGCACGCGCGGGCCAGCGCGGCAGCAGAGACGCACCAGCCAACGCCAAACTTTCATCGCAATCGCCGTTGCGTGGGTGTTGCAAGCCAAGCTGCGGGCGGGCGGGTGAGATGTTTGCGCGAGCAGCGGAGCTGACAACTTTAAGTTCGGCAAGGTGAATTGCGCTTACTCGATTGCGCCACCTTCATTATCTTGCCTAGCGGAGCATGTGGGTCCCCCCCAAAAAACGGCCCCCCTCTTCGTATTGCAATGTGCGCGTGATCTGCCCCATCGTTTAAGCTAGATTAGAAATATTATAATCCCTGGCAGGCCCGCATCGCCCCCCCCCCCCCCCACCTCACACTGTGAATAAAGCATCATGCGCGCACACTCGTTTATAACAAATGATCAATGCTCAAAAATCCCTCGCGCAGGGAAGCAACGGGCGAAACGCACGAGCGCGCGCTCGCCGTCGCGCGCGCATGCCGAAATCCTTCCAAAAACCTGAGGGCTCGTGAGGAAGACAAGATGAAGATGCATGGGTTTCGCAAAATGACTTTCCAAATGAAACGTGCGATCGGGCTCTTGCGAAGTCTGAAGACCAACCATTAATGATTCAACATGGTCATACATTGCTACACAATGGGCCTCTCGCGCGCGCGCCGAAGTCGCAACAACGCCCTTGCGCGCGCGTTGCCGCAATAATTCGCTGCACAATAATGGGGCGAAGCGTGCACGCGCGCGCCGTCAGGAACAACGTGGTTTTGCTACATCAACTATGGCAAATGCCTGTGCCCGCGGTCTTGCGAGCTCGACGGGATGCTATAGCTCGTTCAACGCTGTCTTCAAAATATGCAAAAAGGGCCCGCCGCGCCGCATGTCCAAAGCGAGGGCGCCGTCATCGGAGTCGGCGTGATCAGCATCGGCGCCGTCACTGGCCTTGCCCTCGTCGTTGTCACCATCGCCACCAACATCGCTAGCATCATCATCGCTTCTACCAATGTCGACGTTGCCATGATACCGTGCCCGCCCAGGCCGCCGACTCGCACTGAACTGCCCGCTGGGACATGCCCAGCGGTCAGCGCCACCGCGGCCGCGTCGCTCGCGCCAAACTAGCTGGCCGCTGCTCGCGAGCATGCCAGAGCTAGCGCGGCCGCAGAGATGCACCAGCCAACTCCACGCACTCATCGCAATCGCCGCCATGGGTTTTGCAAACCACGTGGTGGGTGGGTGGTTGGGGCGACTGCGCGGGCAGTGGAGTGGACAACTCACTGTGAACAGAAATTAGGTGCTCCACACAGCTTACTGCACAGAGTCCACGCTGGCTGGCATGACTCTGGAAATTCTACTTGCGCGGATTGGGGGGGAGAGGGGGTGGCGCGACGAGGCTCGAAAAGGAACCTGGCCTTCACGCAAGCCGGGACTCCTTCGCACGCCCGTTTGGACCACAGCATTGCAAAAGAGGGGGCGGGGGAGGAGGCCGCGGGAGAGGGGGGCGGGGGAAAAGGGGGGGGGAAATGTCACGCAAGTGAACTTGCCTCAGTCTGAAGAACAGCGCCTCAAGAATCGAGACGCCAGGTCTCAGGGCCTTTTCTGATAAGCAATGAAAGAACCCCTAACCCTTTGGGAGGGCACCTAGTTAAGTCAGGAGGGCCAAGAACATTAGGGATCGGGGTCGCAATTGTCCCAGCCGAAGCCACCCACATGTTCAGGGACAGCCCCCCCAACAAATGACCAAAACGTTGGGCCACGAGGCATTGTGTTAATAGGGTTAGGGATTGCATTATAGCAAGACCTAGGACACAATAACATCTTTCAGGGGCACGAGACCCTCCGCTGGCAAAAACACTCCAAAACATAAGATCACTCGAAGGTAACCTCCCCCAGGATGCACAAGAAACTCCCAACAGACAGGAAGAATACTGGGACACCCTCCCCAAACCAACCTTGATCTTACATCGGTCCGCCCGTACGGTCAAGCCGTATAATAAGGATTCGCGGAGAGGATGCAAGGGCCTTGGAGGGCCACATGGCAATTTGTCGAACGAGGCTGGCCAGCGGAAGCAGCCAAGGATGGGCCGGAGGGGAACGACGTAAAGTTAACCTTGAAAAGTCGTTCATCCTTTCTCTGCGGGTTGACCGGGAAACAAAACAGAAAAATATGGCTACTCCCCGGACCTTTCCCGAGGTGCGTTCTGACCAGAATTCCCAGGCGAATCCAGCGGTGGCGACGAGGGCCTGCCAGGAGGCCTACAGTGGCGAAAACGAGAGAAGGGTCGCCGCATGGGTATCTCGTCCTCCTCCGGCGTATGGCGTCATGATTTCTCCCCGGAGCTCCCGTCGGCGTCGATGCCCCCGCAGAGCCCGCGCAGCTCGGCCAGGGCGTGGCCTTCGGCCCCCGGGGAGCTCGGCGGAGAGGGCGGCGGCGGCCCGGATCGGGGACCTACGGTCATGAAAAGCCCCGCTCAGTCGAGCCTTGCAGGATCCTCTGCAAGATCCTGCAGGATCCTGCAGGACCATTGCAGGGTCCTGCAGGACCACTCGATGCACGATCGTGCAGGATCCTGCAAGATCCTGCAGGGTCAGCCGAGCGTTGCAGGATCCTGCAGGACCCTTCACGCACGCCCGGATCAATGCACCTCTGGCCCTGCAGGATTCTGCAAAACCTGGTGCTCGGCCTGACCCCCGTCTGCATGGGCCCCCGTCTTGAGGCTGCCGACCGGGGCAGCCCGGCGCCGCGCCGGGCGCGCGCGGCTGCCGGGCCGGAGGTGCGCGCGGGGCCCCGGCGACGGCCGCTGGGGCGGCCTTCTGGGTGGGCGCCTTCGCCAAGGCCGGGCTGACGGCAATGTTGCTTCACGGGGATGTTGGGGATCCGATGGTAGGCAATCGCGAGCCGCGCCTTTCCCTACACTTCCAACCACATGCGAATGCATCGAGCGAAGACGCGACAGCAAGTGGCAGGAGAGCGCGAGGCACACTTTTCCCCACGTGTCATGTCTGAAACTGGATCGAGCGAAAACGACGCAGCGCATGGTAGGAAAGCACGAGCCGCGCGTTCCCACAGCACCAAAGCCTACATCGCCATTGCCTGCATCGCAGTCAGCCCGGCTGCGCCTTCGGGTGCCCACGAGAAGCGGCGCGAACGTACCGTTGGACCTCATACGCCCCAGGTAGGCCAGAAGAGCACCCCTCGAGAGCACGAGGCCCTGCGTCGGCCAGAACCAACAGAACAGCCAAGGGTACGCATTGTCCTCGAACTTTTTCCATACCTTGACTTTTGTTGACGTAGGGGGGCAGTTTGCGCCCCCTCTCAGCCAATCACAAACTTGGGCCCGAGGTCAGAAGAACCCCATCGAGAACACAAGACCCCCCCTCGACCAAGCAAAAACAGAACATCCAAGGGTATCCTCCCCAGGAGGCACAAGAGCATCCAACGAGCACACAGAGAACATGAGGGCACCCTCCCCGAACCGACCCCGATCTTGTGCCTCGGCCTGGCTGCACGGTCAAATCATGTTGCATCCTCGGGGGACCTTGTCTGTCCCGTCGCGGCCCTATGCGCGTCGAATCCGTGTGGAATCCGTGCCGGACTCGTGGACATCCGTGTCAAATCCGTGCCAAGTCCGCGTCGGATCCACGCCACATCCGCGTCGAGTCTGCATCGAGCACGCGTCGAGCACAAGGAAAGCCACAAATGCTGGGGACAGGAGAGGCCCCCCGACGATGCAACGAAAAAGAAGGGCGCACCACACGGATGCACGATAGAGATGCAAGGGCCTGGAAAGCCATGCTGACGTTTCTCCAACGGGGCTGGCCAGCGAAAGTTACCAAGGCTGGTCTGAAGGGGCAGGGATGCAAGGGTAACCCTGGAAAGTTGCTCATTTACCCCGAGACTCGGGCGCCGCAACTCTTTCATCTGCACGGATCGGATCCGGCTCGAAAGACGCGGCCCGGGGCTCGGGCCGTGGTCTTTTGATGACGCTTCGCCAAAAAGCTTCGCAGCGTCAGATCTCAGGGACAGCCGCGTCCACGCCTCGCGGCCTGGGATTCTGGGATGCGCGATCCCGTGAGTGCGCGGCCGCATGGGCGCGCCCCGCGCAGGGCGCATCCGCGAAGCAGCGCCCCTGTACCCCGTTGCGGGCAAGACTCATATCCGCATCCGCTGCGTCTTGAGGCTTCTGGGAAAAGCGGCGCCAGAAGGCCGAGGCGCGCAGTGGATGTGGGTAGAACATCTGGCCTCTGGGGGCCGAGACTTTCTCACCCATAGCCCGGAGCTCCAAGCCGCAACGGATGTGGATACCCATCCTGCCCGCACCTGCCCACGGGGGCGCAGCCCGCCCCGCGGTGCTCGGGCCGCGAGGCCGTGGGCATGGATGCATCGGCGCGCGGCCTCTCGCCCCCGCCACCGCCCGCGCCCCGGCCCCACGGAGAACCAGAGAGCGGGCAGTTACGGAAGGGTCGTGTCCTGCCGACCTCGGCGCCGGCTCCTGACGCTGCGTGGGTCGTCCAGCCTTGGACGAGGGGCCGCTTCCGAAACGCTGGATCGCTCAGCACCGACCGAGTCTGTGCCCCCAGCGGCGCTCGACATCGAACGCCAGCGGCGGGGTCGCCGCAGGTCGACACGGCGCGAGCCTACCGTACACGTCAGGGACGTCCAGGAGGGGGGCCGTCCAAGAGTGGGGGGCGCGAGTCATGGCCGGCGGCACGCGCGCGGCCCGGGAGGGGCTGGTGGGGAACGGGGGGCGTAGGGAAATTGAGAAAGGGCGCCATGCAATCTGGGGAGATATCATGGCACCCGCCGTGAGATCCCCCCCACTCTCGTTGAATACGTCGCCAAGCGATATTACGAGAAATACGGCGACTCCATCATTCATCAAAGCTGGTATAAGAAGGCAAGAGAAAAAAAGACAGGGTCAAATAAAGGCAAGGCCCCCCCTATAGCCAGCACCCCAGCATGTGGACATGCGTCCCGCCCACGAGAGGCCAGAGCCAGAGCAGGGGCACCGACGGCGGGGCGGGTCCCCCCCCACCCCCCGCTCCTCTGGGCGCTGCAGGGTGGCGGCGAAAGCCTGGGGGGGGGGCAATGGATCCTGCGGTGCTCCGCGAGGGCACGAGTGCGGGTGGGCGGGGCGAGTGAAGCTTGAGCAGGGACCGACCGTCCCGTCACTCCTGAAGGCCTTGCCACGACATGTTCTCGGAACCCCCAAAACTGTCCTAAGAACATAAGCGGTGCTCTGAGAACATAAGCCCGAGTTAAAACAAGGACAGTCTCAACCAAACATGTTCGAAGAACATCCCTGGGGAAACCACAAGGTACCCATACCGCTACTCCCCGGACCTCTCCAGGGGCGCGTTCTGACCAGGATTTCGAGGCGAATCCCGCGGTGGCGACGAGGGCCTCCCAGGAGGCCCCCCAAAGTCGGGAGCGGCCAAGAGGGGGGTGTGCAAAAGGGGGGGGTGCAAATCATGACAGGCGGCGTGTGCGCGGCCCAGCGGGGGGGCCAGGGACGTACTGAAATAAGAAGAGGCGCCATGAGATCTGGGGAAATATCATGGCCCACGCCATGATACCCACCCCCCCTAGTCATCACCCCCCTCTTTTCCGCCCCCGACAAAGGGGAAGACGGGTGAAAGGGTAGAGGTATTGGGTAATTACCTGTTCCTCCTCCGAGTGTCGCGCGGCGCAGACCACAACAGCTTCTCTAGAGCATTCTCTGGTGGGCCTATGGGCGAGCCAGGACGCGTCGCCCCTGCTTCAGGAGCGCGCTTCCACTGCGCCCGACTGTCGATCCGCGGGATGGGGGGGGGATCCTCGCGGTCTCCGCGCGCCCTCCGCGGTCCCCCCCGCCTCTAGCCTCGGGTCGGGCATGTCCTCCTACAGGCGGATGTGTGGGCGTTCTGTGGTGCTGCTGCTTTTTGGTTGTTGCTCTTGTTTCTCTTAAGCAAGACAAGAAGCAATAACACGTTTTAACATGAAAAACGCCAACAAATAATCAAACAGTCATCGAACATACTAGTAACAAGCCCTCATACTATGTTTTGACATGTTTTTGAACATTCCTGCTGTGGAGGGACGTGCCCGACTGAAGCCTAGCCGTCAGCCCCCCATTAGAGGCCTCCTAGATGGAGTCGGAGCAGATGGGATTACAGGATCGGCGATGCGCCGGCGATGCATCGGCGATGCATCGTCGACATCGGCGATGCATCGGCGACGTCGGCGTGGAGCAAATCGGTCTCCGTCGACGCATGGGCGACGCGGCGCGACCCCCGGACCCCACCTGATGGGCTTGGCTTCCATCACCACCACCATAAGTTGGAGGGGGAGGGGGTCCGCCTCCTCCTCCTCCTCCTCCTCCTCCTCCTCCTCCTCCCCCCCCCTATTTATGGTGGTGGTGGTGGTGGAAAACAGGCCCATCACCGCCCACTCAAACCCCATCTGGGAGGCCTGGACCCCAAGCCGTCCGCCGCCCATGCCCCTGGCCCGGCCCGACCCGGAGCCGAGGCAGAACGCGGCAGATCGAGCGTCCATCGCCGCTCCCCGCCCATGCGGCGCGCGCCTGGTCCTCGAACTTCTGGATGAGCTGTCCGACCTCTCGGGGGGGGCGCCCAAGGCTACTACCACGCCGCCTTAACCCAACCCGCAGACCCGAACTTCGGGTTGGGGGGGGGACGCGCTGCATATGTATGTGTTCCTTGTTCCCCGATCCCCCCACACTGGAACTGGAGGGCAAATCGGGGTCTCGGGTTATGGCGGGCCTGTCCCCCTACAGGGGGATTTTCGACGACAAAAATAACAATACATTAAAAATACGGCAAAAAGGTTAAAAAATAATGAAAAATAGTCCCCAGACTATTTTTGGAGTACTTTTACACTATTGTTGGGGTATTTTTTATTTTTCGTCGAAAATCCCCGTGTAAGGGGAACGGCCTGACATAAGCCTCGGGTTGGGCTGGGGTGGTTTGGTGGGCGGTGAGCCGAGAGGGCGTGGCCCCGACACCGAGCGCTCAGGGCGCTGGCTTCCCGAGCCGACCCGCCTCGTCCCCGGAGTCGCCCCGCGCAGGACCATCGAAGATTCAGCACTTCGGCGGGGCTCGCATTAGGTCGGGCATGTCCTCCTGCAGGCGGATGTTGCACGAAAACAAAGATGTTCAAACAGTCACAAAGCAATGCTCAACCAAGTACTTTGAAACATCGCCCCCAGACTATGTCTTTGGCTATCGTTTGATATTCCTCCTGTACAGGGGCACGCCCGACTTAGGCCTCGCAGGAACTCGTCCAGACTCGGTGGCTCTCCCAGGGAAGCCCTCCAGAGCACCCCCTCACGAGGCTCAGGAGGCCCCACTTGGGCTCCAAATGAACCCCACAACTCTTTATCATGCGTGACAGCGCCCGTGAATTCTGTATGTTGACGGTCCAGTGTTCGTGGGAGGTTTTTGCAGCGGGAGCTCGCGCCCAATTCCGATGCGGAGCGGCTGTGTGCGCCGTCGCAGATCCGGCCGTGCCTCTCGCGACTTCCTTGGGGGTCTGTTGCGCGGTCTTGCCCACCGCGCAGCTGTCCTCGCATTCCGGGGGCTCCTGGGAAGCCCCGCGGAGTGGAGCTGCACGCCCCGCGCCGCTCCCCCCCTGCTCACACCACGATGCGCGCCGGCGCCCCCTGGCCAGGAGCCGCCCCAGACAGCGCGGGCGCGCATCGTGAGCCGAATCGCCTCCTCCTCCTCCTCCTCCTCCCCTCCTCCTCCTCCTCCTCCCTCCTCCTCCCTCCTCCCTCCTCCCTCCTCCCTCCTCCTCCTCCTCCTCCTCCTCCTCCTCCTCCTTCTCCTGCTCCTCCTCCTCCTCCTCCTCCTCCTCCTCCTCCCCCGGCCACGCCCACTGTCGCCACGAGGTAACAAAAACGGCTTCCTGGCCGCATCCATGCGAGGCGAGGATTTGTCCAAATCCACCGCTTGGGAACCGACGTCCTGGCGCCCCAGCGGGCGGTGGACATGGATAAATTCCAGCCTCGGACATCCACCATTCTGACCCAAACACATCACACGTGTACTCTCGCCGAGCTCCCGCTGGCTTTGCGCGGGCGGACCCGCCGCCGTTCTACAGTCGGCCCGTATCATAAGGACGCACGGTCAGGATGCAAAGGACCTTGGACGCCCGTTTCGAAACTCTTCGAGCGGGGCGCCGCGCACCAAAGGGGCCCAGGATGGACCGAAGGGGCAAGGATGCAAGGGAACCTATGGGAAGGGTGCCCATCCTTATTATGCGGGTTGACTGTACTTGGCATAGAGGAGGCCAGGGCCTGAGGGAAACGGGTCCTGGACCCCAGGGCTTTCCCCCAGAGAGCCCGACAAAACGGCGAACGGAACTCAGGGCCCGTTTCCCTCAGGACCCGCCTCGGCTACACGCAGGAGCGACCGTTGGCAAGAGTGACCTTTGGTGCGCGGCCTTTGGTTGGCCGCGGGGGGGGGGCCCAATTCGGAAACGCCCAGGGGTCATTCTCTAGAGGCCTGCGCGGAGGCGCGGGAAAGGGGGCGTTGGGAACAACAAGAAGCAATGTTGCGCATATGGCGTTCGCCTTCGTAAACACACGTTCAAACAAGATCAAAACTCCTTTCTCGCAATGTTCGGGCGCGCCAGCATTGCCGCGACGACGCGGCGCTTGCAAAGCCATGGCGCCGCGGCCACGGCGCAACCAATGCCTAGTTTTGTCGAGTGCCGCGAAGCGCAACCCGCGCCAAAAGTTTCTCGGGCGAAGGGCCACTCTCTTACGTGGAGTCGAGGTTTGGAAGGGGGGGTGACCTGAATAGGGGGGTGAAGAGAAGGGCCCTGAAGCGTCGAGCTTCCACCAACACCCTGACGAGTCGCGCCAGGGAGGCGGCGGAGGAGAAGGCGGAGGAGGAGGAGTAGGAGGAGGAGGAGGCCGCATCAAGAAGACCTTCGCTCCATCAGGCAAGCGCACTCGCGCCATCGGGCTCGACAAGAACAAAGGGCGGGCCGACCTGAAGGGGCAGCGCGTGATCCACTTGTATGACCATCTCTCGCAGGCGTGGCACAGCGGCCTCCGACGACGGCAACTACCTGGAGACTGGCCTGAGTGGGCGCACGGCAGCTTACCCCATCGCAGCAGGGAATCAGCCCTGCTGGCGCTGCAGTCGGCATGCTGGCGGCTCAGGGATGCCAACTTCTCGGTTGCGCAGCAAAACTGGGATGCGGCTGGGGCCTTCAATGCCATCTGCTGGGAGCATTGGCTCACACACGCAGGTGACAGACTGCAGGCCGCGGACAGGCCTTTCTTCGCACAACTCCTCTCCGACCTATGCGTCACCGTCTCGGCCCCTGATGGCGAGCTCGAATTCACCCCGCAGGAGGGAGGCGCCATGGGCAGCAGCTTGATCCCGTGGGGCTTCGTGGCCACCTACTCGGTCGCGGTCGGCAACGCCTTTGACGAGCTGAAGGAGCAGGACGAGAGCTTCAACTGGCTCGAGACGACGATCCCCGACAGGGACGACGAGACTTTCGACATCGGGGCTGCGGTGTTCGTGGACGACGTGACGCGCATCACCCCGATCCCCAAGCACGCCACTGGGAACGACATTGTCCGCAAGCTCAACCGCACCACCAGGACGATCAACACGGAGATTGGCAAGCAGGGCGGAGGACTGAACGAGGACAAGACTGTCAGCACGCTCGATCTACGGGGCCATGGTTCGAATACGGCGACGAGGAAAGTGGCAACGTCTCGGCAACTGAAGGGGACGGTGGCCAAGTGCGCCAGGTTGCTTGGACCGATTGTGGCGGCGGACCTGTCCGTGCATGAGGAGATCAAGGCCAGGGTGATGGCGGCGAAGCGGGGCTGGTACAACATGGGCTCGACTTGGTACCACGAGATCCAGAAGAGGTGCGCCCGCTTGCAGTTCATTAGCTACGTATACGAGACCGCCCTCTCGGCGCTGCACGTGCTCCTCGTCACGCAGAGCCAGATCGATCGGATCACCACAGTCCTCACAAAGCTCCTGCGGTCGTTGATGGGAGGGCGCTTTACCAAGTGGAGGGACGACGGCTCAGCGCGCACCATCACGAACGCCAAGGTGTGGGACTACTGGGAGCTCGCCAAGCCAGAGATCGAGCTGAGGGTGAGGAGGCTGCGGTTCTACCAGCGCATGGCGAAGTACCACAAGGCCCACGAGCAGGTGATCGCGGCGGTCTTCGGGCAGTGCAAGTTCGAGGAAGAGATGGGGATCTGCAGGCTGGGAGAGGACGGATGGCCTATCTCAACCTCTACGCCGTGGTGCCTACAACTGGAGAAGGACTTGAGGGAGATGGGCAAGGTGAGTGGGGACTGCCACGACATGTGGGAGATGCTGATGTCGGCTCCTGGAGGGCTGCTGGACCTGTTCTACGAGGGCGACGTGCACGACCAGTTCATTAGGCTGGATTTGCGTGCTATGCGCGCGGCATCCTTCGCCGTGCAGATACCCCCACCTGGCCTCGCGAGCGTGGGGGTGGACGGGGCAGAGCCCGCTCAAGACGAGTGGATCGCGCCCCCACCCGCTGAATTTGGTTGCAACGAGACGGTTGATGGCACGATGTGTGGCAAAACATTTCACTCCTTCGCTGCTCTTCAGACTCATCGTCGCATCGTCCACGGGGTACAGCACGAACTTCGACTGTTAGTGGTTACGAATCAATGCCCCTGGTGCTTGAGTTGTTTTCCTTCGAGGGAGGGGGCGATGCAGCACGTATCTCGAGTATCAGGGGGATGGGTATCGCGAGGAGCGAGGCGAGTACGGCGAATGTGTATGGTCGACCACTCTCCCTGGCATCACGAGCCGATCGAGCCCCATAGCCTCCAATGTCCCGCCTGCGAGCGCTCCTTTGTCCATTTGCTCGAGCTTCAAGTACATATTCGGTCACATCATGAGGGCCCCACTGGCCTTTCTCTTGCAGTGGACAGCGATGAGAGCAGCTGGAAGCACCGCAGGCAGCGCACCGCCCGTCAAGCCGATCCAGTTCCTGTCAGGAGGGATTCAGAAGGGCACGGTGACGAGGAGGGAGCGCTCGGCGACCATGGAGGCAGTGAGCGAGGCGGCCGCCCCAGACCCGAAGACGGCGAAGCAGGTGAGGGAGGACGACGTCGAGCAGGAGAGGAAGGCACCAGAGGCGGCCAAACCAGAAGGGGCGACACCCACGGGCAAGGCGAAGGCGGGCGGCAAGAAGAAGAAGAAGAAGCTCGCGACCGATGGTGGCACGAGGCCTGCCTCCGCCAGCTCCAGCGGGGTCTCCGACGGGATGGTCGTCAGGCTGCAGAAGGGGGTGCTGAACACGATGCAGGGGCAGCGCGGCCTGGAGGGAGCGGTGTAAGACTTCCGCCTGGTGCCAGTGAACAGCGTTACCGTGGAGGCGGCGGAGACGAGCGGCAAGGAGTACAACGAGGCGGTGGAGTCCAAGGCTTACACCCCACAGGAGCTCGGCAGCCCGCACGTCCAGATCGCGAAGAGCGTGATCAACAAGCTGGCCGTCGCGGACATGGGCAACGGGCAGCAGGTCAGGCTGGCGCAGTGCGTGATGTCCATCATGAACACGGCGCTGGAGGAGTCCCCAGCGCTCACGGGCGAGGTCTTCAAGGGATTCCGACTCAAGCGGGCGAGGTTCGACGAGCAGGTGCAGGCGACGGGGTACAGCAAGATGACGATGGCCATCAACCCGCACGTGCAGCTGCCGCTGGAGAACCCCAAGTGGCTGAGCAAGCACGGCGTGGGGAAGAAGAAGGCGAACGAGGAGGAGATCATGGAGAGCGACGCGGAGGGACCGCGATGCCTCGCCGACATGCCGCTGATGCCGCTCTTCGTCAGGGACGTGCGGACAGCGTTCCTCACCATGCTGGAGGCCGAGGGCGCGGTGCGGTCCGACGGCCAGCCCCCAAGGTCCAGGCTCGAGCGGGATCTGCAGAAGGATCTGGGCCAGATGCTGAAGTTGAGCTGACGGCCCTGAGGCAGCAGGCGGCCAGCGTGGCCGCGATGGTCGCTGCGACTGGCAGTGAGCGAGGAAGAGAGCTCCTGAGGGCCCTTGAGAGCAGGGTTGCCCGACTGGGGTCGCTCCGAAGGAGAGCCCACAGTCGGACGTGACGCGCTGCGGGTCCCCATCACCCCCAGGCTGTTTGGCGGGTTCTGGCCCTGGTGGCTCCGTCCAACAGTTCGGGGGTGGGCGGGACCCGCGGTGCTTGGATGCAGTCAGCGTCGGTCGCTAGTCGCGGGCCCCCCTGGCTGTATCGGACCCCGTCGCCGCATAAGCGGAGCGGGGCGCCGCCAGGCCCCCGCGGCCGCGCGCCGACCTCGTTCCCGACGTCACAAGGGCACATAACGTTTTTGAGTTTTTTCGGCCTGGAACTCGGAATTCGGTGTCTAGAGCCCTGAGACTGGTTTTGTTGCTCCCGATGTGTGTTTAGTTTAGTTAGGAGGAGGCGGAGGACGAGGAAGAGGAGGAGGCGGAGGACGAGGAGGAGGAGGAGGAGGAGGAGAAGGAGGAGGAGGAGGAGGAGGAGGAGGAGGAGGAGGGAGGAGGAGGAGGGGGGAGGAGGAGGAGGGGAGGGGGAGGAGGAGGAGAGGGGAGGAGGAGGAGGAGGAGGAGGAGGAGGAGGAGGAGGAGGAGGAGGAGGAGGAGGAGGAGGAGGAGGAGGAGGAGGAGGACCCGCTTCCCCCATGGCGATCCGCGCCCGCCCCTCTCGCTCTCTCGCGTCCGCCCTGCGCCGCAGGCGGGCGCGGCGCGCCGAGGTCGCGAGGCCCCCTGCTCCTTTTGCGCTTCTCCCCCGGGAGCGCCGAGGACGACGCGCGAAGAGGCCCGCGGGGGGCCCCGCGGGCCAAGGGCCCCCCCGCCAGGCGGCCTCCCCGACGTCGCGGCCTCTCCTCGGGCGCGACTTCCACGGGGGGAGCGGCCACAAGGGGGGGGGGGCAGGGAGGGGGGGGGGGGGGGGCGAGGAGGAAGCCGTCTCGGGCCCGGGAGGCCCCGTCCTGGGCCCTGAAGAGGCGGAATTCGGGGGCCCTCAAGGGCTCCGTTTCTGCAGCCCTCGCGCCCCCCCCCCCCCCGCCACCCCTCATTTATCGCCCTGGACAAACCTCTCTCTAATAAACCACCCTTTGGTGAAAACGGCCTTGGACCGAAACTCACGCACCTGAACCCGCAAAAATGACAGCCGCGACGCCCTCTCGCGAACTCGCCAATTCGCCAATCGACGAGCCAGGGTATGAGGCCGATCAACCTCCGAATTGTCGCCCCCCCATGGACGCGTCCTCCGAGTCCTGGGCCGGCTTCTCATGCGCGGAGTCGTTTTCGCTGACGGCCCTGGGGCCAGGCATGGCCCCCCCAGGGGCCTGGAGACCTCTCAGATCAAGCCCTCCCCCCTCGTGACTTGTCCCGCGGCGCGGCGAGCGCGGGGTCTGGAGAGGGGGGCTCGAGGGCTCCACCCAGCCGTCCGTGTTCGGCCCAGCAGCTCCAGCGCTCCATAGACCCCAACTCGACCGCCGAGCTCCCTGGCTCCCCAGCAGACCAGACGGCCCGGGGTGTGCACCGAGCCCCTCCGAGCAGCGCCCGAGCCCTCCTATGCGCAGCCGCCAACTCTGGGCCGGAGTGGGCCTTCGGGCCCCTGCTTCGGCGACGAGTGGGCGACTTGGGGGGTCGAGGCACCCCCTCCTGATGGCTGACCAAGTGGTGGTTCCCAAGATCCGGGTGGTACCCAAGTCGTGATGCACCCCCTCCTGATGCATCCTCTCCTGATGCATCCCAAGTCCTGGCTATCCGAGTGCGTGTCGATGCCTCCCCTCCTGGTGCATGGTCCCAACATCCTGGTGTTCCCAAGTCATGACCCCCGACCCCCGACGTCATGATGTGTTCATAACGGCGGCCCCAAAAGGTCTCCACCCAGTCCCCGGGACCTGCTTCTCATCCTGAGTCCTTTTGTTGACGGTCCCAAGGGCCGGTGAGAGCCACTGGACGCCCCAAAAAGCGAAAAACCTTGGGCATGATTTTTCCCTTACCCGACGGGGTTTGGGGTCCAAGCCTCCCGCGACCGCTCGGAGCGATCCGGGCACCCCAAGACGCCTCTCGGCGAGGCGCCGCTACCGGAGAGCACCCCGAGGCTGCAACACCGCCGAGAAGTATCGAAAACGCCTCCTCCTCCTCCTCCTCCTCCTCCTTCCTTCCTTCCTTCCTTCCTTCCTTCCTTCCTTCCTTCCTCCTCCTCCTACTCCTCCTCCTCCTGCTCCTCCTCCTTCCTCCTCCTCCTCCTCCTCCTCCTCCTTCCTCCTGCTCCTCCTCCCACCACCAGTCCCAGGCCGACTACTGAGGGCTCCGGCCCCCCCGCGCCGCCCTCATAGGGCCGGTCCCGCCGGACCGTCATCGCGCGCCCTCTCCCCTCCCTCTCCTCCTCCTCCTCCTCCTTCTTCCTCCTCCTCCTCCTCCTCCTCCTCCTCCTCCTCCTCCTCCAGCTCCTCCTTCTCCTCCTCGGGTCGGCGGAGATCGGCAAGCCAAGCCGGGATCAGTCGAATCGGCAGAACTCGGCAGGCTGGCAGGGCTCCACGGAAGAAACGAACTCCACATCGGAAGCCGACATGTCGAAGCGAAGCGGAATCGGAGCCCATCGGCATCGCGTCGAAGGAGCCGCCCCCCCCGCCCCCTCCCTGACGTTAAGTCGGGCCTGTCCCCCTACAGGGGGATTGTCGACGAAAAAAACAAAAACATCAAACAAAAATTCCAAAAATAGTCTGAGGACTATTTTGTTTGAGTATGTGCTGACCTTTCTGGGGTCTTTTTGTTTTTTTTCTTTTTCGTTGGAAATCCCCCTGCATGGGGGACACGCCCGACATGACCCTGACGCTGCGCGTTGCCCCCGAGGCGCCTTCGAGCAGCTGCCCGCCGCGCGCGCGGGCGGACCGTGCGCGTCCGCGCGCCGCAGCAGCGTGGGGCCTGCGGCCGCGGGGGCAGCGAGCGGGTGCGCCGGGCTGGCGGGCGCCGGGGCCGGCGCCGCGGGGGCCTGGCCGAAGATCCGCCGCCGCGCCCGGAGCGGCAGGCGTGCGCCGGGCCCTTTCTCTGCGAGTCGGGGCTATCCTTAAGTCGGGCGTGTCTCTCTACAGGGGGATTTGCAACGAAAAACAAAAAATACCCCAGGAATGCCCCAAAAAGATCAAGCAATACCCCAAACATAGTCCCCAGACTATGTTCTGACTATTGTTCGGCTATTTTTCGGGTATGTTTTATTTTTCGTTGACAATCCCCCTGTAGGGGGACAGGCCCGACTTCAGGATGTCCACATCCCCAGACCCCCTCGGGGGATGGCAAAAGCACGGCGGGAGGTTCTTCCATGCTTTCGGCCTCCGGGGGCCCTGGCCGGGCCTGGGGGCCGTCAAAAGGCGACTCGGGGACGAAAGACGGGTCCCAGGGAACGGGTCGAGACCTCTGAATGCCGACGCCATGGACACATGATGACGTCGGGGGTCTGGGTCCACATGCGCAGAAAGCATCTATACACCACCACCGCGGCTGGCCAGGGCCATCCTGCGCCCTGGCATGTTGTATGACGCCCTCCTGGCCGATGCCAGGAGGGCGTCATGCACCACAGCGGGGCCCAGGATGGCCCTGGCCAGACACGGCGGCGGTATGTGGATGCCGCCTGCAGGAGATATCCATATCCACCGCCTGTGGAAGCGACGTCCTGGGACCCCAGCGGGCGGTGGACATGGACAGATTTTAGCTTCCGAGGGCCCGAAAATAACAGCCCACCGCCCGCCGACGTCTCCGAAGGTCGACCCCCCGGGCGGTGGTGGTGGATGAATCCCCGCCTCGGATTCTCGCTCTTCGCGAAAGCAGTGGTCCGAGCCCTCGACGCCTTGATTTTTGCATGACGTGGACCCCTGGAGAATCTTCGACCCGTGCACAAGGAAAAGCTTTTCATCCAGAATGGGTTCTAACTGATTAGCCGTCCCAACGCCGGCGAGGACCCCCAGAAGCCGAGGATCGCCAAAAACCTCCCAGGTTATTCTATTCATGACCCGAGGGGGTCTGGGAATTAGCCCCCTCCCACGCATCGAGCTCAAGATGCATTCACTTGTAAAACCGAGTCCTTGCGCTTCTGGCCTTCCAGGCAGAAAGTGGTCCCAGCTGCAAGGGCCTGGGGAAGGGAGGGGTCCGTAGCTCCACCCCCCCTCACGAGGTCCTCCCACCCCCCGCGCCCGCCCCAGCGCGGCGGCGGAATCGCGCGGCAGCGCAGCAGGATGGCCCAGAACATGCTCCCGCCTGCTCTGGATCGAGTATCCATCTCCGCACCCCCTCGGGTCCTGACAAACTCACGGCGGGAAACTCGGGACACCTTTTCGGCCGCCAAGGGGCCCCCGTCGGGCCGCGGGACCGTCCAGACACGGCTCGGGATGAAAAGCTGGTCGAGACCTGCAGGGGTCCAGGCCTTGAAACAAATCGTGGCAATGGGGGTCTGTCGGGTCGGGCGAAAGGGGGGGGGTAGCAAAGGAGGGGTTTGAGAATCAGCTCACGTAGCTGATTTTCCCGGCGCCTCCCGGCGCCGGAGGCGACTATGCAGCAAATTTCGTAACCCCTCGGTGGGGCCCCTCGGTGGGGCCGAAACCAGCTGCATGCAGCAAATGTCGTAACCCCCCCTTTCCCAATCCCCCCCTGTCGTCCGGCCCGAGTCTGGGAGAGAGGAACACACAGCTGCACGAGCAGAAACGTTCGCAGTTCCGCGCGGAGGATTTCTCGCATCGGCGCCGGGCCTCCCTGGCCTGCGCCTCCAGCGCCGCCCCTGGCGCGCGGAGCGCGCCAGGAAGGGGGGCCCAGCGCCGATTCCAGAGACTCGCGCGGAGCTCCAAACTGTCTTGCATGTGCAGCTGTGTGTTGTTCCTCTGCTCGAGCGAGAAGAACACGAGGCTGCGCGTCACGCCCCCTGGGCACCCTTCGGGCCCAAATGGCCTGCGGCACAGAGTCGAAGAAGCATCGTCGACAACCGGGCTGGAGGCGACGACAGGGTCGGCGCAGGGCGGCGCTCTCAGAAGATGGCCCAAGGCAATCTTTTGCCCTCGCTGCCCGCCCGCATCTCTGGGACCCAATGGGCCCTGGAAGCGCTCCCCAGCAATTTTGCTCGGGACAATAACAAAACCTGCTCACCATCACAGACAAGAAAACACGGCGCCAGAATCGGGACCGGAACGGCCCCTCAGCCTGCAGCGCTTTTGTTACCGACTGCGGAAGCATGTTCTTACCAACTTGTTGTGTCATGACTCATTCCAGCGGCTTGCTATTACCAACTTATGTGATTTGCCAACTGTTGTTTCTTTGTTGAACAACGTGTTCTGACTAGCTTCTCCGGTTTATATTAAAGTGTGCTTGCCACTTTCGGACACCTGTTGTTGCCACTTGAAGTGGTCTGCTTTGGGTTGCTGGTGCCACTTTCGAAATCTAACTGCTACAATTGCCAGTGATCTACAATGGGTTTGCCTACGAATTGCAGAAACTGTTCTTACCATTTGAGATGGCTTGCTTTGGTGGCTGTTTTCAACAATTCCAGAGACTTGTTGATACCACCACAACTACAATCATCATCATCATCACCACCACCATCATCATCACCACCAGCATCATCATTGTCATCGCCATCGTCATCGTCATCGTCATCATCATCAACATCATCATCACTGGCATCCCCATCATGATCTGACGGTTTCGAAGACCCATCTCAAGGGCATGTATGTAGCGATACGTGTTTGTCGAAACGCCGCTGGTATAAACAAACCATGTGGTTGTTCACGGAAGTTGTTTATTGGGCCATTTTGGAGGTCATCCAAGAGCGTTCCGAAAAGATGTCTCAAGGCAACTCGTGGCGCAGCCCATTTCTTCGATGATGTCTCAGGCGAAACCGCCATGTTTGAAGTTCCGAAGCGTTGCCTAACGAAATTCACTTCACATTCTCCGAGAAAGTGTCAGTCGAAACGCTCGCGTTGAGCAGAAAACGTCTCAAACTACAGCCTCCAGAGTCGAAATGTATCGCTCATTTGTTCTGGGCTACGCCCGGAACAATGAGCGATAACGAACCATTTCCCCCCCTGGCCCACATGGTGGACAAATAAACCCCCCCCCGCGACATACGTTCATCGCGAAACTCTCCGAGTCTACGCGCGCTTCCAATCTTCCAGTCGTCCGCCAGCAACGGATTTTTTTTTCCGGCGGCGAATTGCTCTCCCCCCTGGATCCCCCCAGTTGACACATCGATCCCGCTGGGCGACATGCGTCCATCGCGTGACTCGTCGAGTCTGAGCGCGTTCCCCGTCATTCGCCAGGAAAGAATCCTTTTCGGCGGCGAACTGTACTCTCCCCTGGACACACCCAATTGATACATGTATCCCTCTGGGTGACATGCGTCCACCGCCCGATCCTTCGAGTCCAAGCGCGCTTGTTTTATAAAAACAGCCGCTACCCTCAATCAAGAGGTCTAGCGAGCTATCGCAAGGCCAACCGCGTGGTCGACCCGCGCGCATGCGCATCCATAGACGTCGCGCGCGGAGCATACCTCTGTCTGGTGGGAGGCCCGCACATCAGCACCTGGTCCTCTGACCAAGGGACTGGTGGCAGACAAAGAGACTCAAACGGCGCAACGCGGCAGGCGCAGAGAAACATATAACGCCGATGCTGGAGCTGCCCTTACCAGCCGTGCAAAGTCGGCAACGCTTCAGGATGGTGAAACGAGGGCGGCAGACAGATAGATCGACCATCTGTCTGCGGGCTGCGGGCCGGGCCAAACTCAAAGTCACCAGCGCAGCAGGCCAAGGACAGGGGGGAAGGCAGGAGACACGCCAGCGCTGGAAACGCACAAAACTAAATTGTGCAACGGCTGGAACCTCACCAGGGCGAGAGCAACAAAACTTGGCCGAGTCAGAGAACTGCGATCACTGTCGGCTCTCACGGGCCACGGAGAAATACTGCACCAGCTACCTTCTCTGCTTGATCCGAAGGTCACGGAATTGGTTGGCGCAGTCGACCGCAAACCGCCGGATGTAGGCGCACGGGAAGCCAACCAAGCCACTTGGTAACTGTCGGGTCCCACGCAAGCCATCTGGTGAGCGCGATGTCCGCTTTGTTGTGCAGCCGTGGGCAAACCTTGCTGAGGGTCCTCAAGTCCGCTGCGTCGAGGTACCAGATACGTCGGTCCGACGGCCGGCGCTTAACGTACAAGATGGCCTGCGGTGTCGGGATCATCCTGAACTTCGTCGAGCCAAATGACCAAGCTACAGCAGCACAGAGAAATGACCGCCGAGTTGGGTAGCCCAATTGCGTTGGTCTGCCACAACGTCCTGGCCTACCTTGAGATCGGACCACGACCACGCTCGCACTATGGCGAGAATGGCACGGCAGGCACGGCGAAAGCCTCTGATGCTGTGCGCTGGCTCGCTCCCATCATCTGCGTCAGTCGATGTCATGGAGCTCCACGGTGACCGTGCCGTCACCGAACGCTCGGCCCTCCAGCGTGGGTTGAAGTCGGCTAACGATGGCGACAAGATAGAAACGAGGCACATCATGTACTGCCATCGACTGGGAGGTTTGCTGCGCGGGGGCTTGCGACCCCACTGACACGATGACAATCCCCATAAACGCTCGAGCCAGGGCCTTCTAAGCGCGCTTCCCGTCATCCGCCAGCGATTTTCCTGGTGCAGCCCGCATCCTTGAGTTAGAGAAAATTCGGACATACCCAAAAACCAACGGTGCACGCAGGAGGCACCCGGTCTCCCAAGCGGTCCTGGGCGGTCCTGAAGCTGACGGAGTGTGCCGCCCGAGCTCTTGGGACGCCAAGAGAACCTCAAGATGGGCCAAGAGGACCCTAAGAGGCCCTAGAGACAGCCGAAGAGACCGCCAGACGGCTCGGATGTTGAAATTTGTTGGGGCTCTCGCCTTTTCGGCTTCCCGACACTCCGAAACGGCCCAAGAGGCCCCAAAGATCGCCCCAAGACGACCCACAAGAGGCCTCCAAGAGGGTCACAAAACGGCCAAAGATGGCTCCAAAACGGCCCAAGAGTCGCCCAAGAAGCCTAAGAGGTCTCCAAAAAGCTCCCAAGAGGCCCCCCAGAGGCTCCCAAGAGGCCCCCAAATTGCCCCCCAACCCCCGCAAGCACTCTTGAGAGACATAGGCGAACAACAAAACTATAGAAAGTAAACTGTGATATGTTTAGCATAGCGTGGTCCCTCCTAGGGGCCCTCCAGCGCCAATGTGGAGAGCTCGCCTCGGGGCCAGCGGCCCCGCCGGCCATTCAGCCCCGTCGATGGCCCCCTCGGGGAAGTGTTCTGCGAGCCCGTAGGCAGAATCACACTTGTTCTTGCTATCCCGAATGATGGACCCCAAGCGTTCGCAACGGCCGCCAAGGGCGAGGGCGCCCGATCGACGACCACGGCAAGGCCCCCGGAAAGCTGAGCCCCCTCAAACGCCCCAGGCGTCGAAGAGACACGCCAGGCCCCATGGTGGCCAGAAAAAGCTGATCCTCCTCCTCCTCCTTCCTCCTCCTCCTTCCTCCTCCTCTTCCTCCTCCTCCTCCTCCTCCTCCTCCTCCTCCCCCTCCTCCTCCTCCTCCTCCCCCTCCTCCTCCTCCTTCTCCTCCTCGTCCTCCTCCTTCCACCTCCTCCTCCTCCTCCTCCTCCTCCTCCTCCTCCTCCTCATCCTCCCTCCTCCTGTAGAGGGCGTCGGTCGGCCCAGGGGGCCCTGCCCGATCGGGCCCTCGGGGGTCGCCGACACGGTCTGGCAGGCGCCCGCGCGCCTGCCCGTTCCCGCGACCCGCCTGGCCCCGCTGGCCAAAGTGAAGGGGCCCCAGGACACAGAAATAAATATACACACAAATAACAGGATTCCCAATATGTTCCCATATTTTCTGGGACCCCCACTTTCCACATTTTCCCGTATTTTCTAGGGAATCGAGGATTAATTGTGTCTGTGTGTTTCTTTCCCCTCCTGACAAAGGCCAGCGCCGCTTGGCGCCTCTCGGGTGGCACGCGGGTCGGGGGCGAGTGGGACAGACGCTGGGACGGCCGACGTGCGACGCAGAACCGAGTCGGGGGGTGTTCCTCGAATGGGGCCCGGCAAACACACATGAAACAATGTATTGTGTGTTGTGTTGCGCATCCCTGAAGACTCCGACCCACAGCCCAGGCACGGTGGCGGGATGGGCCGAAGGCCATTAATCCGCCGCCCCCTGTGGTCTTGCCACAGGGGTGCACGGCGTGCTGGACGATTCAGGTTTTGGTTTTGGTTCTTTTTCTAAAAGATCTCCTCAGTGGGCTTCGGCCCGTCCCGCCGGCCACCCGTAAGTTTCCGAAAATCCATCTGTCAATGCCTTTGTTGCCCCAACTTGGCCCAAGATGGCCTCCAAGACGGCCAAGATGGTCCAAGATGGCCTCCAAGATGCCTCCAAGACGGCCAAGATGGCCTCCAAGACGGGTAAG